AGAGAGAGAGAGATTAGTGGTGTGGTTGGTGTCCATCGATGACCACTACACGCGGCCGACACTTACCGACGACTCCTTACTGGACGCTCGGGTCAGACGCGGCGGTCGTGTCGGTTGTGAGTCAGACATTGGTGGCCGACAGTCGGGGTGTGTGTGAGTGGTGTGAGTGACCAGTCGGTGATTACTGGATCAGATGAGATGGTAGTCTTGTTGTGGTCGCTGTGCCAATGAGAGCGTTGGATGCGTTGGATGTGATAATGTGTGGCCACAACTGTGCGGTCAATGTGTGACTCGTATACCGATTGTGACAATCGTTTGAATCAAACAAATGTTTTTGTTATTCAAAACCCAATGTTTGGGTGTTTTTCACACTCACAGCAAAACATAGCTGTGGCTACCATTTGTTGTGTGCCATACGTGTGGCTGCCATACACTATGGCATCATTCAATGCAATCACTTAAAGATTGTAGTGTGTGTTATGCCAACCCCTCCCCCCTTTGAGTTAGTATATGGCGTCGTAACCGGTATTCAGTTATTATTTGAGTACAGCTATGACTACAAGCGATGGCCGACACATAGTGTGTGCGCGCATAGAGTGCCAAAACCCAGTGACTCACTCACTGTCACAGCGATTGCGCAGTCATTTGTGGCGCAATAATTCGAACGTTTGTTTAGATGTGAATCGGGTTTACGTTCGCCACTGAAAATCACACGACATTTGCTGTCAACCAATCGAACGGAGCGTCACATTGAATACCGAGTCATCGAATCGTGTGTTTCGTCACAACAAAAACAACACTTCATTTGTTGACATCGATTGACACCAAAGACATGAAGAGATTCTTCGGCTTCGGGTCGCAGTCGAAGGCCAACAGTGGGTCCGCCGGTTGTCCGCAGCCGAGTGTGGATCACATCAGCGGTGATGTCCAACGGGTGTCCCTCGAGATCGAGTCGCTGTCCAAACAGATCCGTATCGATGAGCAGAAGTGTCGACAATTGGACACCGATTTCGCCGAAGAGGTCCAGTCGTACGGACGGCTCGAACGCCGACACGAAGACAATGGCCGGAGAAAAGGTTAGTTCCGACCGAACCGGTGGTCACATGAAAGTCACCGCCAATTGGTCTCTATGTCTATGTATAACACATTTTGTATGTCTTCGGCCCCACAGACCAGACCATCGATGAGATCAAACGCTTGAGCCAACACGTGGTGACACTCATGCGTGCGATCGAGTCGTCTGACGCTATGGTCGATGAGTTGGAGCGAGAGGTGCGCCGAATGGAGGCCGAAGTGGACGCCCAGAAGCGTCAGTTCCGGTCACTTCTGGACCAATACAGCCGTCAGTATAACGAGAGGAAAGAGGCGTACGAAGCGATCGGTCAGTATTTGGATGTCGACGGCAGCGGAACCGGTGAACGAGAGGACGACATAGCGCTGGACTCCCGGCGCCGACAGATGCGAGCGCTCAGAGCGGAGATCCAGTCGCTGGAGACCCGCGCGGCCGCCTCTAAGCCGAAGGTATGTCACAGTGTTTTTGTACAGTTTGTGTCACTGTTTTCGGTGTTGTCCTGTGATTGTCCGCAGGGTTTGACTGAAGACCAGTGGCGTCGTTGCGCGGATCCGATCGCCGCGATCGTAGAGATGGCCACAATTAAAGTGAAATCGATGCAAATGGACGAATGGATTGTACGCCAACTCATGGTAATGGAGGGTTTGGTTTCGCCCCAACAGTCGGTGTCGAGTGATGAGCAACAGATCGTTGGCCACCACTTTCAGGGCGGGGACAGTGTGTCGGCCCGAAGACCGGACGGCGCGGCAACAGTGCAATCAATGGCCGCAATCGATAGCCAAAGAGCTTTATTCGGTGTCCAATCGTTGGCGATTGACTCGCAAAAGCCAATCGACAATCAGAGCGCCGTATTTGGTATCCAATCGTTGACTATTGACTCTCAGGCGTCACCCGACAGCACGAGAGCTATATTTGGTTTGCATTCGTTGTCCGCCGACGGCAAGACTGCTGACAGTCTATTCGTCAGTACTGTATTTGACACGCGATCGGTGGCCAGTCGTTCGCCGAAACCGATGGACAGTATGTTTGGTCTCCAATCATCGATCGCTAGCCCTCCGGGCGGCGGACTCTCTCTGTTTGGTGGCCGCGAAGTGGCTTTTGGTTCTGGAGTTGGAAGTCCTCCGGGCGGTGGCGGCGGCTCTCTGTTTGATCTGCAATCTGCGGCCTCGACCTCACGGGCGTTGAGTCCGACCGATGGGAGCGCTCTGTTTGGCGCACAATTTGGTGCCAAAAGTCCCGACGACGGCGACGACGACCAGAAGTCGACCAATAGTTTCGGGTTCTTTGGCGGCAAACCCACTGACGGCGACGACAACGACGATAATAACAATGGATTCAGTTTTTTCTCATAAATATTACATTTATTTTTTTCATATTTCATTGCTTTTCATAATTATTAATTGTAATTAACTTTAAATACACTGTTTTTTTTGTAACTTTAAATACACATCTCTTTATGAAAATATCTTTAATCAAGTGTTTTGTTTTTGTAATAAATATGTGAATTCTGTTAAATTAAATTAAAAATAATTACCGTATTACCTGTGATTTTATTGCATGCAATATAATGTCAATATCAGTAAAGGGGTGCAATATTATCTAGATTATATTGCACCTGATTTTAGCCCAATTTTAAATTTTATCAAAAATTGCCAAAAATATTCAAGTATTTAAACAAATTTAGTTTTGCATATAAAATGTGTAGACTTTTAACTAAATAGTAAAGTTTTAAAGTGTAAATGTATGGTCAAAAAAATTGTAACAATTTCCTGTCAAACACTATTTAAAGACAATAAAATGTCTGAGAATCTAGAATTCAACAAATGTAAGCACAAATGAAATGATAGACATAGTTATGAGTTAAGACATGAGTGACAGAGAATTGAATTTAATATGAATTAGGAGTGAAATAAAATTCAGAAACATATTTGACTATTAAATCAATGGTATCTAATAATGATAGTCTATCTGAACCCTTGTAGGCTGAACCGTCGGGTCTGACCGACGATGTATCTAAACGCGAAAAATAATAGATTTTGTGGAATATTTTTCTACATTAAATATTTATTAATTAATTCTTAATTAAACTATTATTAAAATGCTGTAAATTAGTAAATACTGTAAATTATTTACAATGTGCAGTGAATTTGAGATAACATTGCATGCAATATTATCTCAATTTTAGCCAAGGGGTGCAATATTATCTAGGTAATATTGCATATGATTCTGAAAAACACCATTTTACTGATATTGACTTTATATTGCATGCAATAAAATCCCAGGTAATACGGTAATAACTAATTTTTATAAACATATAATATGCTTAAAGTGATTGAATTGTACGCACGATATAAGAGTTTATATACTATTGATTGGGAAAACTTTTTATCCCAAAATACATGTATAAATGGGATCACAAGAAAATGTTTACGAAAAGAGAAATATTTATTTACATTTTAGGTGTAATTTTTTTGTCAGTATATATTTTCCTCTTTCTTGTGGACTATTTTTAGTGTTTTTCAAATAAAAAAACATAATATAATTTAATATTCTTCAAACACTTAGCATTAAAACTGTTTAAATTTTAATAGGAATTGCATTTTTTGTTTGTATTTTAAGTATCAAATTGTATAATTTGTTTTTTGTTGCTATCTATACCACTGACCGACTATTAAGTGATACGAAAATATCTATTAAACAAACAGTCGCTGTTTGTTGTTGAGGGCCGGGGGTGTTGTGCGAGTCTGTGATTTAGATGTTGTTTAGCATTTTAAGTATCATACATTTTTATACGGGATGTGTTGTGATTATAAATTCAATCATTGGGTCGTTTTTGCCTCAATTTCTGTAAATGTTAGAGAGAGAGAGAGAGAGAGAGAGAGACTAATTCGTGATACGAGTGCATACATACGTTAAATATTAGAAAAAATATTGAGATCTGTGTTTAAAAAACAAATGAATGCAACAGAAAAAAACATCTATAAATAAAACCACACGTTATATAAGTGGATATCTAAATGAATATAAAAAATATAGACATAAACAACAAATCTATTGCTGTCAGTAGTAAAGAGGATAGCAGTCATACAAATGTGATGGTTATGTCATTCAATACACCAGAAGATTATAAGACAATCATATAATGTATTATAATATGAAATTTAAGTATTATTTTTCTATGTTTGATGGTTTTGAGAATGGGGAGGGTATATATCGGGAAATCATGATTAGTTTATAAATGTAATATTATATAACAAACTTAACTTAATGTTTAGTTTAAACGCTTATATTTCGGGCAAATAAACAAACATTTGATTCTCGGAAAAAACAGACAAAATATAAGCCAAAAATAATTGGGAATATATTTTAGACAAAAATCGCAAATAAGATGAGAAATGGTTGTCAGAGGGAAAAAAAAATCTATATATAAATGGACATAAAAATCGTTAAAACAAACAATATATGTTCATTATATGTGTGTTGGTCTCTAATAACAATACATACTGTGTATAGTGTACTGAAATTATGGCCAAGTTTTTAAGATTATATAATATGACCTTAAAGTAGGCCGTGGTTTGACTGATGGTGTATAACAATGAAATATATTCACACATATTGTATGTATTTTCTTATATCGTTATATAATGTTTAATCCGTTTTTTGTGGTTTATATGTAATATTAAAAGAAAAGTATTTAAATATATAATAGTTATAACAGAAGAGGTTTATTACACTTTTTTGTTGTGTAAGGAATATAAGAGTATATTATTAGCGAGAGATGTGTGTATTTATAGCCATTAAAACACCGCAATCAGAGAGTAGCCAAACAGTTATAATGAGATGCTTTTTGTGTTGGGAGAGACAGAAAATAAAATAAATTACTTTTTCCGTATTTAATATGTAATAAACGAAACAATCGTAACAACAATACAGTTGGGGACTAAACCGACCATCAGTTTTCTGGTTGGAGTGATTGGAGTGGAGTTTAATTTATATTTATATAACACTTATGGATCACTAGACTTATGAATGAGTGAATGGAAATGTTATTAATAATAATAACTTATTATAAATTATATATACAGTAATATATTGTGTTGTTGTTATCGAAATAAATCCTTCATCTGATCAGTGGAGAGAGAGAGAGAGAGAGAGAGAGAGAGAGAGCTGACTATACATTATTAATAAATATGCCGATTAGAAAATATTAAATAAAAATGTTTTACGTTTGATTAACACGTGATCAGCAATTAGGATATTAAAAAAGCAAACGTAAACTAATTTGCATTAAAATTAAATCAATGTTAAGTCCAGTCCATACCAACAGTACACTAATTTGAATCAATTGAAAATCATTAGTCGCTAATAGTGTACCTCTTTATAGAGAGTTACCCTCCATTCAAAAGTCTATTTATAAATATGTAATTAAAAGTAATTTTTTCCTGTATTATATCTATACTAGACTTCAATGCCTTTTCCGCACTCTTTCCCTGTATTGAACGGCTAATTATTTACATTAAAAAACTCACACTTTTATTCAATATTTATATATAAATCATTATAGATAAAAGACAATTTACCGTAATCTGTAAACGACAAAACGATATACAATATATCGTTACGCCTATCCCACACTCTACTCTCTGTTTCGGTTCAGATTCTGGTTTTATAAATATATATATAATTTATTTTTATTTCATATACAGTGTTATTAATACAGGAAATGTAATGCACTGATAGTCCTAATAAATTAACTTGTGTATTATGTGTGACCAGCAAAAATCGGGCGATTATCGCACAGGGGGTGTGTATGTGTATACTGTATGCAATAATCAAGTTAGAAACTTTCGCGACAGTCCCCCCAACCCCTCCCCCTATGCCTTCGGGCAACTTTACATCCAAAAGCTTGTGATTGTGTAACAATTTTTGTGATATTTTCTTGTTTTTCAAATACAAAAACTGTGGAAAGTTTTTTATTATCGACGATTGAAATCACATTTTCATCACAAAAATCACACACAAAATGATGTTATTTTCGGTTTAATATACAATTTAATGTATACGAGAGGACTCTATGGGACCGCTTGTGTGTTGAGTTGTTATGTAATTGTATGTTATATACAGTTTTATGAACCGGAATTTTTTCTCTCTCTGCTGTGTTAAGACTTTTATGCTTTAATTTTCACGCCAACGGGTGGTTGTGACTACTACTTGATGGCTGAACTGTTCCCACTTCTCTACCCCTTCTTCCCCATACCATTGCCCTCCCCCTCACCCCTCAAACACACACACTCTGTGTCCCCCATAATGTCTTTGGGTAGGAAAGGGATGCACACATTGCACTCACATAAGGGTTTCATATGATTATATTCTTGAGGTTTAAATTTATTATACTTTTAAATGCGATATTAAAGCAGAGGTTCTCTTCGGCCACAACACAGAGAGTGTATTCTTATAATAAAAGACAACTTTTAATGTCTAATTATCATAGAGTTTGTGGACCTATTTTATACGTGAATTCGTGATACGATATTCACAACATCTGCGCCAATACTACACCGAAACAAAATTAAACAATAAAAAAAAGTATATATAAAACAACACAAAACATTGCATAACATTTTTACTCTCACAGTTAAATACACTCTTAAATACACTCTTAAATACACTCTCTGTTATATAAGACTCACTTGTATTTAATGTAAATAATATGCGAAAAGCTATTAATATTTCTTATTTTTGTTTTATTGTTTTCTAAGGAGAAAATCTTTCCGAAAGCGAAATAACAAAAAATAAAATTATATTTTGCAGAGAAAACTCGTTTATAATGAGGGAAATTATTAGAGAGAGAGAGAGAGAGAGATCTGTGCCCCCCCCCCCATAATGTCTTTGGGTAGGAAAGGGATGCACACATTGCACTCACATAAGGGTTTCATATGATTATATTCTTGAGGTTTAAATTTATTATACTTTTAAATGCGATATTAAAGCAGAGGGTTCTCTTCGGCCACAACACAGAGAGTGTATTATTATAGTAAAAGACAATTTTAATGTCTAATTATCATAGAGTTTGTGGAACTATTTTATACGTGAATTCGTGATACGATATTCACAACATCTGCGCCAATACTACACCGAAAAAATATTAAACAATAAAAAAAAGTATATATAAAACAACACAAAACATTGCATAACATTTTTACTCTCACAGTTAAATACACTCTTAAATACACTCTCCTGTTATATAAGACTCACTTGTATTTAATGTAAATAATATGCGAAAAGCTATTAATATTTCTTATTTTTTGTTTTATTGTTTTCTAAGGAGAAAATCTTTCCGAAAGCGAAATAA